CCTGCGGGCGCCGGAGAGACTTGTCATATTACTGGAGTACGACAGTTCCTGTGCTCAGTCATTCTGAAGGAGGGAAATACATCAACGACCTGGCGGTTTTAATACACCGGATATACCGGCTTTAGCGTCCCACAGAGTAACTCAGCTGTCACCAAGTACTCATAGACGGAATTTAACGCCCATCACCGATATTTGATGGCCCAGCACGTCGCCGCGTTTAAGGACGCGCCTTCGTTTCCGGGCGACGACTTTGGCTGTGCTGCGTAAGCCCTCAGAGCTCCGAATACACGTAGCTTTAAGGTTCGATGTATCGGCGGCCGAACCACGCGTCGGACCAGATCATTGATGTTGGTTGACAATTATCTATCGGTTATGTACAACGACTAGCGGGCGCTAATGCGATAGCTGGCGGATCGTCAGCGGGACGCGCGCATCGACTGGGGGGCATGTGTGCTTTGCAATGGTGAACAAAATGTGAAGGTCGTTTAGGCGCTGCCGGCGGTGGCGAACGCTACCGTTGTGCTGGGGCTCTGCCTGAGAGGGGACTTAGGCCCTGTGCAGAAAAACGGATAGCGCAGTACGTACGTCCAGGTCATTGTTGTGGTCGCAGTGATGATGTACGGTGCGACGTCCGTGGTGGTCAGATACATCCTCGTTGCCGTGAAGACGGGCATGATGTTGACGTCTTCGTCGCGGGCGTCCTACATAACGCGCACACGTCTGTCAGCCGCCGCATCCTCAGTGGAGGGGCAGTACGCACAAGGGGTGCCGCATGGACCGCTATGGCGAGGGCGAAAGCGAGGAAAATCTTGGAGAGCATTGTGAGAACGGGGACTCGGACCGCAAGGATACTGAGGTGGTTCATGGGCGAGCGTCGTTCTTATACAGCTCCTGGGGTCTCGGTGTGAGGTGCGGCCGTTTGGTTAACCGAGGCCCTCCGTATCTACGTAAAAGCTACGAGCTTCCTTGTGGTGAACCGCCCGTCTAGGAGAGACTAGGCCCGTGCAGTGAGCGCCCGCAATGGTCACATTTACACTGCTGATGAACTTGGGACGATCATACTCTGGCAAAAAAAGGTTATCACCCCACAGTACACTGCACCCCGGCAAAATAATTGAAGACGTTTGTTCTCGGCTCAGGTGTACAACACAATGCAAGAGTATTTGATGTGCATTTTCGCAGGGCGGGGATTCGCGAGTCAGCATGGAAAGTGGTGTCAAATGGTCGCCGGCGTCCAATTGTACCCTCCGTGAAGCGTCTGGGTTGGTCAGTCACTGAAGTGCACCCTCCTGATCGCCTTCCGTCGGCATCCCGAAAGACTAGACCGTTCGAACCACATCTGATCGCAATAACCCGCCCGGTTCAACGCGGCGTATTCTTAGAGTCGCCAGATGGAACGTGCGCGCGGTTGGAATGGGTAGGAATCTGGCTAACATTTCGCATTGACCCCTGTCGAAAGAGTAGCTCGCGTTTCGGAAGTTCCAACTTTGGAATTCTTTGGCTACAAACTTGTGAGTCAGCCGAAAGCTTTGCTGATGTGGCTTCGGGACTCCCTCATTGAAGATGCGTGCAGAACGGGCGCGGTACGCGCTGGCTGCTCAGGATTTTTGTTTCAGAAGTTATGTCACGCTTCGTCTCGGGGGACATCTCCTCTCCTCTGCGAGTGCTAATTTAAATTCGCGTTTGTTAGGCCTCTTCTTGAAGCTTTGCTGTAGATATAAAATCTCCTCCTTTCCCTCCCGGACTCATCGGAATGTATGTGTATGGCCTTCCTCATTCGACACCGCCTCTACGCTACTCGCAGTAGGATCCGACCCTGATCCGCATGATCCTCTACTTGACGCCAGCCTCCAGTCTGTTCGCTCTGCCAGTCGCGTATCCGACAACGCCTTCCCGTCTGTCATGTTCCCTTTTTTCCTGTACGACGGGTGAAGAAGTTCAATCCCACAGTCTGGAGTATATAATGGTCAAGCTACTATACATCGTAGAATCTGATCGTGCGTCTCTGTCTTCTGACCATCCTCTCCGAATGCTAATTTAAAGTTATGTTTATTGTGGCTCTACTCTGCACTCTCAAGGTCTAATTGCGGAGTGGCCCATACCTCCATCGCGTCACTGCTGACATCCTCAATTTGCGCAGGGCACGCCCGTTCGATTCGGGCTTGGACCGTGGATTTGGACACGGAGATTTTTTTGCGTAAGAATTTGGGAATCAGGCGAATGCTTCCCGCGGCTACTGGACTTGATCACTGAAGATGTGTGTAGAACGGGCTCGCGTCTGTTCGGTATGTTTTGCCCGAAGTTACGTCACGCTTCGTCTCTGTGGACATCTCTCCTCTGCGAGTGCTGATGTAAATTTATGTTTATTAGACTTCTTTCTACGCGCCTTTAAGGTCCAGTTAGAAAAACTAGCGGGCGAACCGCGCTCTGCCGTCCTTCCACTTGGGCCATCCGCCTCTCTAGACTCTGGATTACCGGTGTGTTTCTCGGCCATGCCCTGCGAGTGCTGATTGAATTCACGTTTATTGAGGCTCTTACTCTCAACACTCGAGGTCCAATTGCGGAGGGGCCCGCACCTGCATCGCGTGGTTTTTGCTGAAATCGCTATTGACGCAGGGTACGCTCGTTCGATTCGGGCTTGGACCAATGCTGCGAAGACATGGAATTCTTTTGGGTAGGAATTTGAGAGCCAGGCGAATGCTTTGCTGATGCGGCTGCTGGACTTGGGCGCAGAAAGGGTGCAATATGCACTGTCTGCTCGGTATTCTATTTCAGAAGTTACGCCACGCTTTGTCTCTGTGAACATTTCTTCTGCGAATAGTGATTTCAATTCACGTTTAATTAGGTTCGTACTCTGCGCTTTCAAGGTCCAATTCAACAAACTAGCGGGCGAGTAATATGACTCCGGATCTGTCGGCGGTTATGATGTCAAGGCCAACTCCGAATCTCGTCAGCGGGGGACTTCCGTTCCATTCGGGCTTGGACCGTGCGAGGAAGGCTCAGCGTTTTTTTTTTTTTTGAGTTTGACGCGCGCCCATCTCGGAATGAAGTGAATTATGCTGCGTTCCACTCCTGCCACTGATCCTTCAGTCAGCCAGCTGCGTTCGAGCGCGCTCGATGTGCGCTGTCAGTGGGGTATTTTTCAACAAGGTACGTAGTTTAATTCATGCGGTGTACTAACTACGTTTGTCCTATCGTCGCCCTGCGTGTCTTAGAGCGGTGAATAAGCATCTGAAACATTTGACGATAGGGCCTGAGCCATGGGGCACGGCAGATCAAATAAAACCCGACCGAGAATGTCGTAACTCCTGGATGTTGTGTCCGCCCACGAAATCATCGCCAACCAAGATCATGACTCAAGGGAGAGCTCCGGGGTGTGCGATTGAGGACAAACGTCGTACGCGATCTGAGTGTGGGCTGTACGTAGAAACCGAATCGCCGCGCTGGTCTCGAACGCCGGGTAGATGGTGGCCAAATGATGGCTCGGGCGAAAGACGCGTTGTGTGGTTCTGCTTGCGCTGATTCGATCAATCGGCACGCGTACCCTTCTTTTCTGCCAGCCTCACACTCGCACTGTCGCGCAAGGAATCCGAAGCGCGCGGCAGCCCCGTGGGATTTAGACTCCACACCACCGCTTCAACATCCTCCAGTGCCCACAGACACGCTCGTCGACGCTCTCCCCGTAACAGTACCAGCATCCACTCATCGTTATCCATGGCCATCGTTATCCATGGCCATCCCCGGGGCATCCGTACTTCGTCCGGGATCTCGCATCTGTGCTCACGCGCCTGCACCGGTACGTCTATCTATCGCATCGCATCCCCCCCATGCATACGCACGTCTAGAGTCGACTCGACTGTGGTGCGTGCGCTTTTTTCACCCCCATGCTCTTCCAGGACGCGACCTTGCTGCTCCAGCTTAAAGAACATCGTCTGCGCTGTCGCCGTACCCTTTCCGTGCGCCAGTTCCGTGCAAGCAATCCGCATCCGGATCATTGGGAGACGTCCTTCGTTCAGGTAGCCACTCCTCCTCTCTTACCTCTCGTCCCAACTTCGAGCAAGTGCTGGATCTCTTGCGCCTGATGAACAGCAAGCGCCATCTGGAAGCATCCCGCGCCCGTTCGCATTTGCCGCGTCTCTAGATTTCGACGATCCTGCTGGAATGCGCGCACCGTTGTCCCGCTCTAGCTCCAATTGGCACTGGCCCCAGACGCTCCGCCTCTCGAATTGTATTTGCCTTCTCCCGGTGGAGGCACCTCTCTCTCCCAATGACGGATATTCTTTCTTACGTCTCAACTCTCCACTGTACTAACTACGTGTGGACGCCGGCAATTCGTAATTCCCCGCCTGGTCCCCAATGGGACCGCGGTAACACAATATTCCTCCTCCTCCCCCCGGAGGCATCGGAATGGGTTTGTACGTCCACCCACATTCGGCGCGGTCTCTCTTCTAATCACGATACAAGTATTTCGCCACGTACGTTTATGAGTTCGCCAAGCCCACAGATTGGACGCCAGGATCCGTCCCTGATCCGCATCACTCTCTACTTAACACCAGCCTCCAGTCTGTTTGATCTGCCTCTCATTTTTTGGGCAACGCCTTTTTTCCTCTCCGACGGGTGAAGATCAATCACACAGTCTGGAGTCTCCGTCTTCTCACCCATCCTCCGAATGCTAATTTATTTAAAGTGAAATTTATTTATTTCGGCTCGTGCTATGCGCTTGGAGGTCGGATCGCGGAGTGGCCCGCACCTGCATCCCCTGAAAGAACCGATGGATTCACGCTGGGCAGGCCCGTTCGATTCGAGCTGGGTAATATGACGTGCGGGATTTCTTTGGTACGAATTCGTGAATCCGGTGAAAGCTTCACTGATGCGGCTGCTAGACTTGCTCATTGAAGATGTCCGCACAACGGGCTCGATATGCGCTGTGAGCTCGATGTTTTGTCAGAAACTAGACTAATTCATTCACACTTATTAGGGTTCTGACTCCACGCTCTCAAGGTCCAATGGCGGAGTGGTCCGCACCTGCATGACGTTGATGGGAGATTTGTGCATTCACGCAGGGCAGACCCGTTCGATTCGGGCTTGGACCAATGCTGTGGGAACGCGAAATTCTTTTGACCTGCTCATTGACAGTGTTCGCGGAACGGGCTCGATATGCGCAGGCTGCTCAGAGTTTTTGTTTCGGAAGTTATGTCACACTTCGTATCTGTGATCTACTCTCCGAATGCTGGGTCAATTCACGTTTATCAGGGTTCTCCCGAGTCCTGCATGTCCGCCCACCATCGCCACTGAAGGGAAAGCTCCGGGGTGCGATTGAGGACAGATATCGTGAGCGGTCTGAGTGCCTGGGATGGGGTGCTGGTTTCGAACGCCAAGGCCTCAATGGGTAGATGATCGCCACATGATGGCTAGGGCGAAAGACGCGTTGTGTACCCGTCCCCTTTTCTGCCTGCACACTCGCGCGCGCCGTCGTGCTCGCGGTACGCACTCGCCGCCGCCTAATCTTATTCGTTCAGCTTAGGCATGCCGCGGTGCAGCTCAATGACCGTCATCGACGGCGTGAAGAGAGAGGAGGGCAAGCTCTTCTTCGCGACGGTCCGGTGTTCCCTTTTCATTTCTCATCGGACGAGCCTGCTGATCACCGAACGCTTCAGACAGGCTAACTTACCGCCGCGACCCCGTACACCTGCGTCCGGGGCGCATCAGCGTACGAGCTCTCCACGGCCGGCCAGGCGCGCGCGCGCTCTTCCTACGCTTCTTCCCCGCGCTCGCGCCTGTCGCGCTCAACACCGGCGAAGCCAAGGTCGACAGCACCAATCCAAACTCAGCACCCCTGCCGAGAAGGAATCCGAAGCGCGCGGTACCCCCACCTCCACACCGCCGCACCGAGATCCTCCCGCGCCCACAGACGCGCCCGTCGGCTCTCTCCCCGTGGCAGTAGCAGCATCGACTCATCGTTATCCATGGCCATCCCCGGGCCATCTGTACTTCGTCCCGGATAATTCGCATCTGTGCTCACGCCCCTGCACCTGTGCCTCTGTCCATTCCGTCCCAACCGTACGTAAGTCTGGACTTGGACTCGGCTGTTGCGCCTGCGCTTTTTTCGCCCCCATTCTCTTACAGGACTGCTGCTCCAACTCTCAAAGTTATCTACTTGTGCGCCTTCATCCCGTCCTGGACCACGAAGGCTAATTTAGATAGGGCTCTTCCTCCCTACTCTCAAGATCCAATTGCGGAGTGGCCCGTACCTGTATCGCGTTGCTCGTGGGATTCGCTGTTCGCGGAGGGCACGCTCGTTCGATTCGGGCTTGGACCTTAGCAATAAAGAAACATTTTTTCTTAGCTCCGACGCGCACGTCACATTTATGAATTAGGTGAATGACTCTCTGATGCCAGTGCAGTAATTGATTGTTCATCGAACTATCTGCATCCAAGCGCGCTCGTTATTCGCAGCCGGCTGGGTATTGTTCGGGAAGTTATTCTAATTACGTTTGTCAGGGTTTTCCTCTCGAAGTACAATTGCGGAGTGGCCCGCAACTGCATCGTGTTGCTCGTAGGACTCAACTTTCGCGCAGGGCACGCCCGTTCGATTCAGGTTTGGACCAATGCTGCGAAGACTGGAATTCTTTTGGGTAGGAATTTGGGAGCCAGGTGAATGCTTTGCTGATGCGGCCGCTAGACTTTCATTGAAGATGTGCCCTCTGCGAATGCGCCCGATTGTCGCTGTCGGCTTGGTATGTTTCGGGAAGTTAATGCTAATTGAATTCACGTTTATCATGAGTCTTATTCTGCACTCTCAAGGTCCAATTGCGGAGTGACCCGCACCTGCATCGCGTTGCTTTCTGAACTCGTTGTTCGCGCAAGACACGCCCGTTAGATTCGGCCTTGGACCCTGAGAGGAAAGAAGTTATGAATCCGGTGATTACTTCGCGGACCCCACTACAGTAATTGCTGATTCATTCCGCCATCTGCGCTCCATATTCGCAGTCGGCTTGGGATTTTCGGGAAGTTAATGCTAATTCAATTCACTTTTATTGAGGCTCTTGCTATGCGCTGTTAAGGTCCAATTGCGGAGTGGCCCGCACCTGCATCGCGTTTCCGCTGTGATCTCGCTATTCGAGCAGGGCGCGCCCGTTCGATTCGGGCTTGGACCGTGCAAGGAAAGCGCGGAATTTTTTCGAGTGCGACGCGCATCCAGGAATGAGGTGAATTGTAATGCGTTCCACTGCTACAACTGATCCCTCATTCGGCCATCTGCGTTCGAGCGCGCTCGGTATTCGCTGCCGTCTGAGTATTTTTCCAAAGGTTACGCAGATTGATGCGGGGAGTCTATACTAACTACTCCGGCAGGGCTTATATATCCCGCCCTCCATGGCCACCACGTACGCGAGCACAACCATCGTGCTCTGCTGAGAGATCATGCTCCCTGGCGTCCTGAGCATCATGTATGTCATTCCCAGGGGGCTCTCGAGAATTAACTAACGCCGGTCGCTTTCTGTGGCTCCCACCCTGATAGTCACATCTATTCCTGGGATTTCCAGGCCATATCGATATCCTGATTTCAGAACGATCAACGTATGCGTCACTGGAAAGTTCTTCGCTCGAGGAGCCCTGCAATAAAAAACCGTCCGGCAAATACTGAGCCCTCAACCTTAGCGACTAGGCCCGCAGCTCGGATTCGAACTCGAGGGTGAGTCAGACTATCTGCAGTTTGGATTTCGGAATCCGCTCCTGATCCGCCGCAGCACTCTAAACCTCGATTTGGTACAGATCTCCATCTGCAGGTCCGATCTGCCCGTCATTTATTCGGCCATGTCCTCGCATCTGTCATGCTACCAGCCAGGGCATTCTTTTCTCGAATATCTCAACACCGTGAGTTTTAGTTTTAGCACGTCTGTTTTTATTTTCGAAGACTGAACTGAAACTGCGCGGCAGGCGATTCTCTTGTCCAATATCTCAAGCTCAAGTTCAGCTACGCTACAAGGACAGCACGTCCGCTGGCGTTGTCGTTTCCCGAGTACTCCACTCCACTGCCAACAGGCCACATGATGCGTGTTGAAGCGGATCATGAGCGGATCGACATCCGCTTCAACAGGGGATAAAGTAAGACCATGACGAGCGGCTGAAATTCTGGTGTCTCGAGAATGAACACTCAAAGTTTCAAGCACTTTCTCTGCCCGCTCGGACGCAGTCCAAGGTGGGTGGAGATCCTTGAATTTACAGGGGAAACCGTGTGCTCAACTGCCCTCACGTCACCACCACGCAACCACCACGTTCCAAAGATCAGCAGTGATTAGGATCGGCGCATTGTCGGCCGATCGGCGTTGATTACTATATCGGGCGACAGATAAGATCCTTACCGACTGACTCATGACGCGAAAAAAAGTTATAACCGACAGGCTGATTCTTCTTGCGACCATCCATCCCCCGCCTAACCCACGTTTCCTCCATGGCCTCGACTGTCCCCCACACCAACGGCAACGCGCACCCCATCGCGCCCTTAGATGTGCGTGTCGAATCCCTGTTGGCCACGTATGCTCTCGCACGCTGAAGCTCGTACCTTTCAGGCGTCGCTCCTTAAGATCCAGCGCGCGGAGACGCTCAAGCCTGTGCCGGAGCCGGGGACGTACAACTTTGGAGATGTGCGTCAGTCTTTTCGAGGGAACGACGAGCTGATTGCGCGGGATCCTGTAGATCAAGACGGATCATATGTGTGTCATGACCTGCGACCCCCTCACAGGGTGGTCGGCGCCGGAGATTGTCCCCTATGGCCCGCTGTCTCTGGATCCAGCTAGGTATGTGGCAATACGTTTATTTTCAACTTTTTCGGAGCTGACTCGGAGGGGCGCGATAGCAACTGCTTCCAGTACTGCACCAACGTCTTCGAGGGCATGAAGGTGCGCAGTAATATTGTGACGGCGAGTTCATTATTTAATGTGGTTCAGGCATTCTTGTCCCCCGAAGGAAAAGCTTGCATGTTCCGCCCCGACCAAAACATGGCGCGCCTCGCATCGTCCGCCGCGCGGATGGCGTTGCCCGTGCGTGAATCTCTGCATCCACTCGGGGTCTCATCTGATTTGTTCCCTCACCTAGCCCTTCGACGCCGATGCGCTGCTGGCCTGCATCAACAAGCTCGTCGCCATCGAGGCGCGCTGGATCCCCTCCGAGCCGGGACACAGCCTCTACATTCGCCCCACCATGATCGGCACCAAGCCCTGTGCGCCTTTTCTCGTTCATTTCTCCTCGTCGTATATTGACTTATCATCAACTCGCCATTGCAGCAATAAAAGTCGGCGCCTCCGAGCACGCGACGCTCTACGTGATCGTCACGCCCGTCGGCCCGTACTTCCCCACCACCTCCGGCGGCGTCTCCCTCCTCGCCGTCTCTGAACACGTGCGCTCCTGGCCCGGCGGCACCGGCGGGTACAAGCTCGGACTGAACTACAGCCCGGGGTTCGTCCCGCAGCAGGCCGCCGCGGCGCTGGGCTACGACCAGGTGCTCTGGCTCCTCGGCACGAAGGAGAAACGCATCACGGAGGCGGGGGCGATGAATTTCTTTGTGGTTGTGGACAACGAGGATGGGAAGGGTGTGGAGGTCCTGACGCCCCCGCTGGACGGGACGATTCTGCCCGGCATCACGCGCGACTCCGCGCTGGCGCTCCTCAGGGCGCACGCCGCGGACCCCGCAAAAGGCATCCTTGCGCTGCCGGTGGACCTCAAGGTCGAGGTGAGGGAGTGCGAGGTGACGGTCCCGCAGCTCGCCGCGTGGGCAAAAGCGGGGCGCCTGCACGAGTGCTTCGGCGCGGGCACGGCCGTGCTCATCGTTGCCATTGAACGCATTGGGGATGTGGTGGATGAGCGGGTCGAGGAGGCCGTGAACGCCCAGGCCCTGAGCGCGGATGCGGTAGTGGAGCTCACGAGCGAGGTGAAGGAGAAGACGAAGCAAAAGCCGATCGTGGACATCACGATGAAGGGTGGGCTGCGCGGGCTCGGGGACGTGGGCACCGCGCTGTGGGATAAGCTCCTGGCGCTGAAGGAGGGAAGGGATGAGTTCGAGGGGTGGAGTGTGCTGTGTGAGTAGACGCCAGCG